ATTATCATTCATTTATTTTACAAGTTTTACAAATTACACCAACATAATTATCCACTACACTGCAGAAAGGTAATTTAATTTACTTTGGCTAATACACACACTGTAACTAGTTTTCAGTTTTCTCCTCATTCTTTTCTGGTGCAGAAGCAGATGAATTTTTCTTCCTTAGTTCAAGTTATGGTTTCTAATAGCTGTAGTATGACACTCTTCCTCCCCAAATACTGTATTATCTGGGCAAACCTCAGGGGAGAAAGCCAAACACTGGATTCCCATTTCATCTAGAATAAAATCCACATTCCTTGACAGGACTAGAAGGAGTGTGTCATTTGCCATCTGACACCCCCTTTGTATCAACTCTCCAGCCAAACCTCCTTTGGCTTGGGGTCCACGAAAACACTGCACACTTTCCCACTTCAAGGCTTTGAAAATGCTGGTTCCTCAGTACCTTCTAGCCCATCTCTTTGCATACCTGGCTTCTTCTCACTTTCTAAAGTAGAGCTCTTATAGTCATGGGACGTGGAGTATAGTGTGGGAGTGAAGTCAAGGGATTTGTAATAGATATGTATGATATTGGGGGGAAATGGGGCGGCGGATTGGGGGAGGGGGTTGTCACTTCGAGGGGTAAAAAGTATAACTATTGCACTGTGTTGTACAGCTGAAACTATTTCTAAAAGTGTATTTCATAATAAAAAAATAATTTAATAAAAAAAAATAGACTAAAGTAGAGCTCTTGTTGGTAAAAGGGTGCACACTTTTAGCCATAGACGAATAAGGTCTAAGGACCTCATGTATAGCATGGTGACTATAGTTGATAATACTATTGTATAATTGAAACTTGCTAAGAAAGTAGAACTGAAATGTTCTTCCCCCCAAAAAAGTATGTGAGTTGATGGATGTGTTAATTAACTTGATGGGGGGGAATCACAGTGTATACATATATCAAACATCACACCGTACATTTTAAATATCTTACACTTTTGTCTGTCAATGGTACTTTTGTTTGTCAAAGCTAGGAAAAATGTAAAAATAAAGTAGAGCTCTCCCCTTACCCACTGCCCAACTACTCTCTACAATAGTTCCTATTGAATTTCTTTGTATCCCTATCCTGATAAAATGTAAATTCCTTGAGGTCAAAGGCCTTTGTCCATCTCTAGGGCAACATGTTATATGTTAGGACTCAAAAATATCTCCTGAATCAATCAATAAATGGGAAAGGCTTTGGCCTGTGATTCAGGACACCTGGCCTCTAGGCTGGTCCTACCATTGATCAGCCGTGTGACTCTAGACAAATCCCAACCTCTGTGGATCCCCATGATTCACCTGAAAGAATGGGGAAGAGTAGATATATTAAGGTTAAGATGGCTGCCAAGTTTTGATGATTGACTCTTCCTTCCTCATTTTCTCACACCGTTACTGGAACAACCAGTATTTACGGCAACCTCAGGAAAACATATGGATCGATCTTGAGGGTCAGGATGGTATAATAACAGAATTTTAACCAGCTTTTGTACATCCCCATCTCAGGTGCATGGGGCCTAGTCTTCACATACAATACTTTATAGCCGCCTTTCTACTGTGTAGGAAATGTTTCTTCACCACTTCTGACTACTACCGCCCTCTTCCACATCTTCCCCAGTGTTAGAGTGATAACCTATTATTTATTTTGTGAAAATTTTGACCTTTTGAAATGACGCAGGATTGGATGGGATGAGTGTGACAGCAGAAAGACATATAAATCACTAAAGTAAGAAAAGGGACCCCCAGGATTATATGAGGTGGAGGATGGAAAAGGATGTTGGGCTTTGATTTGCAATGCAGATGTCAAAGAAGATTGAACAGAGAAAACATCTTTGAACTAATAGGACTAATTTGGCAATGAGTTCATTGGTTAAGAAACAAAAGTTCAAGACTTTAGAGAGAGGAAGTACAGCCAGAATATAGACTACTGGAGTTTTGGAAGTGACAGGAAGAGAGAAGGAAACAGCAAAAGGGAAAAACAGCCAGGGATAAAGGACTGCTCTGATTTGTTCTGGGGTGTTTGTGGTTCTTTTTTTTTTTTTAAGGGGTAGGAATGTAGGTGGCTAAGGGGGTTAGGATAGGTGAAACCTAAGTCTCTGTAATTAGAAGGCAACATGCAAGAAGAGAGAGAGGCAGGCAAGGCAGTATGGTGAGGAATTGCCCAGAATGACTATCTACAGAATGGATTTGTGGGGTTTTATTTGCTACCATTAGTTTTATTGCCATATTTGGGGGTATAATTGACATATAACAAAGTGCACATAATTTAAGTGTGCAATTTGATAAATTTTGACATATGCCTACACCCGTGAAAGCATCATCACAGTCAGTGTAGGGAAAATAGCATGTCCTCATGCCCTGTTGGAATCCCTCCTTTCTGTATCTCCCCATACCACTGACCCACTTCTTGTCATTATAAATTTGTTTGCATTTTCTAGAATTATATATATAAATAGAACCACACTACAAGTGCTCTCTTTTGTCTGGTTTCTTCCACTAAGCGTAATTATTTTTAGATTCATCTTGTTGTTGGGTGTTTTTAGTTTTCTTTATTGCAAAGTATTGGGTTGTTGGAAAAGACATGATGTATTTTGTCTATGTTTTTCAAAGGTCATTTATTTATATAAAGAACAAAGATCAATCAATGATATATTTCCCATTTTGTTCGATCACCTTTTGACATCTTTCAGTCAGCTTCATAATTCCTCATTCATAGAAAGATATGTCTTTATTTGCAAAAAACTGAACAAAGTGCTGACTTACAGCCTCATCTGAATTGAATGTTATACCACGCAAGGAGTTTTGAAGAGAGCGAAACAAGTGGAAGTCTGACAGCACAAGGTCAGACGAGTATGGTGAGTGTGGCAACACATCCCATCCAAGCTCCAATAATTTTTGACGGGAGATCAGACTTGTGTGTGGTCTCGCATTGTTGCAGTGGAACACAACTCCTTTACAATTAACAAGCTCTGGACATTTCTGGATGATGGATTTGTTCAAACTGTCCAATTGCTGACAGTACACATTCGAATTGATTGTTTGGTTCCTTGATAGAAACTCAAAAAACGTGATGCCTTTAAAATCCCACCACACTGAGCGCATGACCTTCCTCTGATGAATGCCTGCTTTCAATGTCGTTTGAGGTGAATTATCACGTCAGGACCAAAACCGTTTGCACACCACATTGTTGTAAACAATCCACTTCTCACCAGTTATCAGTCGCTTCAAAAAAGGATAGTTTTCCTCACGTTTAATGAGCATATTGCAGATGTTTGTATGCGCCGTCCAATTAACTTCTTTGAGTTCATGCAGAACCCAAATATTGAGCTTGCTTACGTATTCCAGCTTCTTCAGGTGGTCATGAACGCTTGAATAATGGATGTTCAATGTGTCTGCAATCTCTCATGTCATGTAATGTGGGCTTGACTCGATCAATGCCTTTATTTTGTCGTCATCAACCTCAGGCCTCCTTGACTGAGGAGCGTTGTTGAGATCAAAATCACCAGCATGGAATTTTGTGAACCATTGTTGGCACTGACGTTCTTGTAGAGCATTGTCACCGTAAACTTGATGCAACTTGTCACAAGCTTGATGCGCATTCTTCCCTTCATGGAAGTAAAAACGTAAAATATGCAAAAATGCACAGTTTGGTCTTCCATCTTCAAGTTGTTGTAAAATCTCCAAAATTCAACGAAATCGTTCAATTTTTTTTAAAAAATGAAGCTAGACCTGTCAGCTGTCAAATGACATAGCAATAACATAGATGCGAATGACTGTAGCACTTCCAAAAATGAGCTAGTGCCATCTGTCGCAAACATGCATCATGACTTTTCTGACAACCCAATAGTACTAGTTTCCTGTGGCCACTTTAGCAATTACCACAAAGTGGGTGGCTTAAACAACAACAGAAATTTATTCTCTCACATTTCTGGAAGCCTGACGTCTGAAATCAAGGTGCCAACAAAATTGGTTCTTTCTGGAGGCTCTGAGGGAGAATCCGTGCCAGGCCTCTCTCCTAGCTTTTGGTGGCCGCTGGCAACCTTTGGTGTTCCTTGGCTTGTGGCTGCATCAGTCCAATCCATATCATAGAAATGGACAATGGAAAAAGACACTAAAAAAGAGGAACTGAAAGCGTAACAAAGAAATGGAATGAACTGGAAGGTGTGAGGGAAAGTGTGGAGAACTTTCCAGCTCAGCTTTTCAGTCAGCAGTTTTTAGTTATTCTTTTGGCAGTTCACTCCAACATAGATGTAAGGTTTAAAAGAAAAAGTAATTTCTCTGTTCCAGCAAACTGATGGCTCTGAGCAGAAAAAGCCCCAAGAAGTTAGTCTGAGCTGACGCCATAGCTGAGCACCAGATGGCGCACTTTCTGGAGCAACGGGAACTTGCTGGTGACCAACGTATTTGCCTTTAGGAGCCTTTGTCACCTGTGTACACAACTCCGGCCATTCTTAGGTGACTTCCCAGAGTTGCAAATGAAACTGAGCCCAACTTACTTAACCTTTCCCTTCTTTTCTAGATCTCAGATGAAGTCTACTACCCCATTCATATTGCCCTTTTTGGGAGCAAAACTTTTCAGAAGGGCAGTCTCTAGCTGCTGTCTGTCTCTACTTCCCACTTCACATGTTCTCCTCAATCCACTCTAGTCAGGCTGCTGTCCCACCACTCCACTGCAACTGATCTCATCCAGGTCAGCAATAGCCTCTGTGTTACCTAATTCAGTGCTCACTCTTCAGCCCTCATGCTCTTCCCTTCTTGATGTCACACTTCCCTGGTTCTCCCCCTACTTCACTGATGGACACCTCCTCAGGTTTCTTAGCTGGCTTCCGCTCAGTTTCCCTTCTCCTCTGTAAATGTTTTCTCATCCTAGGTGATCTCCTCTATCTATCACTAGCCTCAGAAGAGTGACTTCCAATGCTAGGTCATGAAAGACATTGCTGTTTCTGTCTTGCTCTCTTTTGGATTGCTTGCTCTGGGAGAAGTTATCTGAGGACACTCAAGCAGCCCAATGGAGAAGCAGATATGACAAGGAACGGAAACATATTGTGAACAGCCAGAGAAGAACTGAAGCCACTGACAACAGCCATGTAAGTGAACCATCTTGAAGGTGGATACCCAACTCCCAGTCAAGCTTTCAGATGAGTGCAGTCCCTGCTGATGGTTGACTGCAACCTCCTGGGAGATCCCAATGCAGAGCCACCCAAGTGTTCCCACACTCCTGACTCTCAGAAATCATGTTAGATAATAAGTGTTGGTTGCTGTAAGTCACTAAACTTTGGGGGGATTTGTTATGTAGCAATAGATAACTGATATACCCATGCCTGCTTCTCTGACCTCGTTTCTTAATACTTCCTCACCATGCTGCCACAACACCTGCCTGTCAACTGTGCCTGAAATACACCAAAGTTGTTCTTGTCCATGACCCTTGCTCTCCTTTGTCCCTCTGGGTAAGAACCTATTACCCTGGATCTTTTCATGCCTGGCTCCTTCCTGTCATTCAGGACTTAGTTTTCTATAACCACTCATTCTAAGTTATCCACTTCCCCATCGCCATCCCAAAAAGTCTGCATCACACTATTCTGTTCTCTTTTCCACATAACATTCATAACTAACCATAATTAATTTATTCACTGATTTGTTTATTTGTTCATTATCTGAGCAGGACAATGCTCTTATATGTACCATGGCATCCTCTGTGTGTGCAAAAATCTAGGGAACAAAATAGGTACCCAGTAAACATTTATTGACTAAAACAATGAATAAAATCATTTCAATATTATTTATTGGAATGACAATCCTTCAGAAGTTTACACCGTTTTCTGAGGTCAGAGTCTATTTTTTTCTACTAGGTATGTTTAGCTGGCCTGTGACTTAGAATGCTGTACCTATGTTGAAAGTTTCAAAGGACAAATATATTTAAACATAGCTATGAGTGCAGAGGGGAGGTGAACAAAGGTTGTGGGAATAAGGTGGGTGGCAAGATGGATCAAAGTTAACACAGATTAAAGTTGTGCTGATTCATGGCTGCTGCAATCCAAGCAGCTCTCATTGGCAGAATGCTTCTAATACTTATTTGTTCTTCAAGAAGATTTTGGAAAATCGGCAAGTTACCGTACATAATAGCTCAAATCTTGACCTGATTCCCCCAGTACAGCCAGAGAAATTAATATCTACTTTCATTTCGAATACACAGAGGGTGCCAAAAAAATGTATACACATTTTAAGAAAGGAAAAAACTGTATAAAAATTGTAATACTCAATATATACCAATAACAAAAGATGAATACAAGTCTTGTGTATACATTTTTTGGCACCCTGGGTGCATATATATATATATATATATATATATATATATATATATAT